TTTTAAATGCCTTAAAGTAGTGTGTGGGGGTTAGTGTCTGCCACGCCGCTGAGAAAATAGCTCTGGTTATTTACAATTTATGAATAAAATATTTACAACAAATGTTTCACAGCCGGAAGTTAGCAGGATGAGATTCTTTGTAAAAAGTCACAATTTAGACATGTATAAGGGAAGATATGCAAAGACTGCTTTGTCCACAGGGGGCGCCAAAATGAACACAAACTGAAAGTATTTGATGAGAAATTTAAATGGCCTTGGACTCATAAACTTTTAACCTGCTTTTGTGGAGGTAGCAGCTAATTACTTTAAAGACAGCAGTTTTCTGGGGTAATTTTGAGCCCATGCAGTGATTTCCACTACAGAGTCATTTCTATTTTTCATGCAGTTACAGCCGTCCAGCGTTTCTTGGAGGTGCTGTTTTCATAACGGTGTGAAATTGAATGCTTGCGAGATGTTTCTTAATGACTTCTTTAGTGAATAGTTTATTGAGGATTTTTATAATATTTAAGATCTTGACATTTTGTTTCCTCTTATTTAAGATAATATGAAAATGCTATGACTGCTGTGGTTTGTATAAATTTCATCTCAAACCCTTATAATCATATAATTACTCCTAAAGCTTTCTTGAGTGGTACGATTTATAAAAGACAAAGTTTGGCTCTAATTCGTTGTAGCTCAACAGTGGTTAATCCGGCATTCCTTGAAGGACAACATTGAACATTTGTTCTATTACTGGAAGTCTTGTATCCACAATGTCTTTCATTTTTCTTGCAAAGGATTGTTGGCAAAGTGCAGATGATGACAGATTATCTTTTTGCAGCTTCCAGATTTGTCGTTTGATTGCCTGCCTAGTGTAGCCTGTAATCCTCATAATCTGCTGGAAAGTACATCCTTTTATATTAAATCAGTAAACGAGGATCAGAGTTAGAATCCGGGGATCGTGTAACGTTCATTTTCTCTGACATGTCTTTATTGCGCGTCACCGCACATGTAGCCTTTGTGTTTGCTCTCTTCAGCCCACACTCCAGCAACTCTCTTCTGAGAAAAGCTGGTCTTTGCCAGTGGCTCCATCGCTCTGTGTCACTACAATTTTAAGACGTAAAGGTTAACAGTGCACAAGTTTGCATCAAAAAAGACAAATCCAAATCTGCAGCTGCTCCTCTGTTTCATCTCTGCACTTACAGTTTGTCTAGCTTTAGCAGGATAATAGTCAGATACTATATTTTAGAGCAGTTTTTGAGCTGATTTTGGTACCATGCTGTCAACAGTCTATCACAAATGAATGCTATTATTTCAAGAGGCAGTTCGGCATCAGGTCCAACACATTTTCAAAGAGCAACTTTGTCGAAAAAGTGCAGTTTCACTTTTTACTCGCTCAAAATCAAGCGAGCAATTTTGTGTTCAACCGGCTTGTGTGGAAAGTGAGAGTGTGCAGCTGCCTGCAGACAGTGAGGATGGTTGAAGGCAGCTGCTGATGAAGGCAGATTATCTGTACATTAGATTATTTTAAAAATACCAAGCCTCTGTTTTTAATCCTTTTTGACCACACAAGGATTAAATGTTGGATTAAATATTGTTTGATTTCAGGGAACTGACACATTCATTAAGATTAGGGATAGGGGTGTCCTGATACGACTTTTTTACTTCGGATATAATACCAATATTGTAGCCTTCAGTCTCGGCCGATACTGATATCGATCCAATTTTGGCACAAACTTTTCAGACTTTAACGAAAAATACTGCCACACAGCCAACATCACTCCTACTCCTTGCTACTATGTTTGTACCTTAGTACACACTGTTGTTGTGATTTTGTCGGTTCTGCATGAGGATCCGGGTGCTGCTAGATAGAGATGCCGGAGTGGAGTCTGGAATGGACTGCTTGTATCGGAGTGCTGATATCAGAGATTTTAGATGCAGGCTGATATAATCCAATATTTGTTTTTTGGCTGATATCGGACCAATATCAATATCATATCGGGACATCACTGATTAAGGAATATATTGCTTGATTTCAGGGGACAGTCGTTAAGATAAAACACAAATACCGTAAATTTTGGAATATAGGGGCCTTTTCACACCTCTACGTTGTCTGCTCTGGTCCAAATTATAGACCAATTGTGGTGGTCGCCTATTGTCTGTAGCCGTTCATTACTGTTAACATGAGAGTACTCCTCCCCCCTTGCAAGAGCTTGTAAAAGGAGTGATCAATCTGTCTCTTAATTAATTAGTTGTTCATCAAAGTCAGGTTCCGCTCTCTTGAGTTTCGACCCCCATGGACCCAAAGTTAACCTAAAAAACATCACGCACAAACTTCCCTGGAAGAGTCCACGATCGTTACTCGCTGTCTGGATGTAGACCTGTGAGCAGCTCCCCCCTGGCCCCACACCCCCGTTCACGGCGCCCTCTCTTCCACAGTCATATCACACGTCAGAGCTGCAGTGATCTGAAACCGTGAAAAGCAGTTATTGCTCTTCCATTTCCCACGTCGCTGGGGATTCTCTAAGTTTCTAATAACAAATTACAAGAGCAGATTCAGGCCCTCAGAGAGCCCGGCACACACTGAGCATTAAGGTTATGTTAATTGTGTTAAGCCAAGCCTTCCATTCAAATTGAATTTATCTTGATGTGTTGTTCTCTCCGTGTTGTTTACTACTGCTGTTTGAATTTAGTACTATTACACTGTTGCCGTTTGATCGGTCTAATTTGCACAATAAATGAGCAACAAATCTTCTCTGTGCAACAGTTTACAAGAAACCACAGCAGCCATACATTCAGACCACAGACGTCTATCGTAGCATCTGCTGTTGTGTTTACAGAGTCTGTAGTTCACAGCTTGCTGCGGGGGACTGGCACGCTGGCCCTGCATAGTCATGTTTACTACAACTCTGCTGCCACCCTTGTCTGCTCCTGAAACCTTGATCCAACCAGATGTGCTGTGCTAAAATAGCTGGATTAGACAGACACAGTCAGAGCCTGCAGACAGCATTTCTCTTAAACCCACCGAAGACCTCTCCCTAAACTTTACACTCGGAGTGCACAGCTGATCAGATCTAGGTTAAACTAAGCCGAGGTCACTGAGTATCAGAGACTTCTATAGATCACATTCTGCCATATTGATTGACATAGTTGAACACACTTTGATTTTGAGCCCATGTGGTGATTTCCACTACAGAGTCATATTTTTCTTTTGCCTCAGAGGGTTTGAAGATCATGCCCATCTGGTATTGCTTCCCTGCCTTGTTCTTTGGTACAGAGATTTCTCCAGATAAGCTGAATTACACTGAGGAACACTATCCTGAAACTGTTGACCCTCTTGCTCACGCAGTCTCTCACAAAGCAGTAAACCTCGTCCCAGCTTTACATCTAAAAGACTCAGCCTCTCTTGAATGCTGTTTTTATACCCAGTCTTGTTATGAAGAATCTTTTCCCTGTTTTGTTGCCCATTTTCCAACTTTTTTAGTTTTTTGAATCGCTCTTGCACCCACATTAGCGCCCATGTCCAGCAGTAAAATTAAATAAACATTGTAGGGCTGTAAAGTCCTAGTCGACTTATTGGTCGATGCGTGCTGAGTCAACCAAAATTCTGATTGGACGACTCTATTTTTTTCTGCGTCAATTTGCAGTCTATGGTTAATTTCATCAGGAGGAACGTACCAAGCGCTAATGGGGATGTAACCCCGGTTTCACAAGTAACAGCCTGTCTCAGAACACCGCTCTTGTTTTCGCCATTTTGAATTCGCCTAACCCACTGGAGACTGGCTGGAGACAGGAAGATTGAAGTATACTTTCACCCTGCCAAGCTGTGTTGTCCCCCGCGACAGAAGAGTTTGCCGTCAGTCTGAACCCCCCGATTAGTGGATTTTTAGTCGAAATCTTCAGGGTTTGAGTCGACCAAGAGTTTATTGAAAGCATACCTTACTCTGATGCAAAAAAGAAGAACCTCAGTAATATAAGGTCTTCACCAATTCTGTCATGGTGCCCTGAGTTTTGAGTAATCCGTAAAGTCAACACTGCTGTGCACACATCTCAATGTGGGAAGCCACTTTCCTGTCTGCTGTTCAGAGGATTCATTTCAGTGGATTTAACATCAATCCATGCGTTGACATAACTCGTACAGTGGCCTGTGTGTCTTATCTTTGTTTTTAGAGACACAATAGAAGGAGGGGAGTAAAATATGCTGACTTTGGCCTGATGTATTTGCATAGAAAGGCTGAAATCTACAATCTTAGGCAGGCACACCTGAGAGCAGACACACTTATAGGTCTGAATTATATTCAGCCAAAAACACATCTCTGAATAATTAAGGGGCTTTATCCAACCTACCAAAGAGCAGTCGAACATGCCCTGATTCACTTTGCACCACATGCTATAGAACACGCCTTGTGGATTATTTTAATTGGAGCCTTAAGGTCGAAGCTTTACCAACATTATGTCTTTTTTTTTTTTTTTTTTTGCAGCACATTCAGGGCAATTATGCATGCATGGAGTAAGCAGTTAAAATCTCACTGCTAATTTATGAAAACAAACACCAGGGACAACCTTTACCAAAATGCAATATGATCTCGGGTAAGCATTGGAGGTGCTAGTAGCCTAAATTCTGGAGCATATGTGCACAGCGAAGGTCGCTGTTTCTCCCTGTTTGTAGATTTTCAGCAAAAATAAGAACAAATGAAAAACATAAAACTGGCACAGGTCGTTCTTTGGTTTGGTTTGCAAGCAGACTGTCAAGGAATCCAGAATTGTGTTTCCATGTAAGGTTATTAAGTTTATCAGATTCTACCTGACTCCTTTAAAAGCGGTCTGGGATCAGCAAATCTCGTGCTTCTAAGTTAGATCATGCATGTTGGCTGTAAACATCATGCTGCAGACCCCCATATTACTGTAAGCTTGTAAAACAGACCTAATCCATCTGGGTGTTGCATGTTGCATAAGGTGCGTGATGCTGCATTGTTTCTCATTAGTATCCAGCATGTTAGGATGCCAACTGACAGCAGTCCTGGGGGATAGCTTTGCGCTGCTCCCTTATTTATGTGCCCAGTACAACTCAGGAACGTCTCTTCCTACATGCTTTCCACATCCCCCTTCTTTGTACATTAAGCTCAACCCCAGGAGCACCTCTGGCAATGCAGAGGTTGGGTATATTTGTCTTCCTACTCGCAGGGGCGACTGGGAGGTCGGGGGAGGTTTTCAGACAGTTCAGTGTTATGCAAATGTAATTCATGACATGCAGAATCATTCATTTGAAGTTGTCTTAAAATAACAGCTGATGCTGTTTGGGCCGCGCACAGATCTGCTTCTGTGGATGGGAACAAATTAAAAGTACATTCACTGGAAAGCTTGGGTTGATAGAGATGCTCCTGAAAAGCTGGGGGGTGATTGCAGCCACTCCAGGCCTCTGTGCTGATCAGGTTTGAAGATAGAGGCTTGGTGGAAAAGGCAACAAATAATGTTGAATCTCTGAATCTCTGGTTTAGTCCTCTCACTACCTTTCACTGGATCCAATGAAACTGAATCGAACAAGTCGACTGTGCGGGCCAATATTCTTGAAATTGTGTCATGTTTCACTGCTGTATTGAGTTCCTTGTGTTCCTTGTAGCTGTTGCACCTGCAGACAGGTGATTGACAGGTGTGATTGTACACAATGTCATCCTTCGGGGGACGGTAATTCCAGATTTCATTCATACAGTCTGCTCTGCAAAAATAAAAAAAACTAATGATACCTCCACCGAAATCATCTGAATCCTACCTTTTACTTCCATAGACTGTACAGCACCCTCTGGTGACGGGCTGCAGTATAGGTCATAAATCCCACATCCTCCAACAATCCCTATGGAGTTTGGGACAATCTTTAGAAATGTATTACACAGAATATAATTTTTTTACATTTGCCAATTCCTACCGGATCTGTTTGTGAGGCGAATTTCGTGGCGGATTACGGACAGCAGGAATCGCGAGAACTCACAAGAACCCGCGGATTTACATGCAAGCGCGCATTAATAAGTTGTCTTTAGCCACATAGGCTAACCAAATAAGCAGTAGATTGTGTCCTTTCAGAAGAGGAAATCTACTTCTAGACTTATAAAATCAGCATCTCCTCATCCATGGTGTCATCGGTATGAAATGCTGTCTATAAACTTTTCACTTGTTCGTCCCCGCCCGTTTGCATAGTGTGAAATATGATCCGTCTGAAACACAGTGTTTTATTTTGAAAAAAAGCTGGATGTTTTATTTTGTGTCTGTGCCTGACTTCCTTTCCAGCACGGTTAATCTGTGCTGAATTTATCTGGCGTGCTCCGGTGTCCAGAAAAACTAGAACTCTTGCGATCAGCTGCGGAGTCCAGCGATCCACAGCGGAACGGAGTGAAGCCAGTGAAAATTGACACTGAACCTTGAATGGTTACAATCAGCTATAATCGGCGGATATGGCCTTTTTGTAGCCGTTCCAGATGCTTTGAAAATTGGGGGTAAGACTGGTTTGTGCTCAAGTCCTCTTTTTTTCTGTGCCCCTCTATTTTTAAAGGTTATTGGGGGTTCACGTTTTCTGTGATTGACACTTGATACAGCTTATGGGCGTATGAAGATTGCGTAGCTCACCTGGGATACGCTGTTTGAGCCTAGCGTCATCACAGCGACTCTCCTAACAAATGCGTACAACACGACTGCACAACTGGTGGTTCCAGGAAGGGGAGAAAATCCTGGAAATATCGAGAGCAATTCGGCTTCAAATTCGTATAATGATGGAAGGTGAAGCCAAGCTGTTCATAGAATATACAGTCTATGGTTACTTCACATAAAATATGAAGGCTAGTTCTCTGTTAGTTGCAGCATTAAAAGTAATGATGCATATTTGTGTTTGCTGGTAGCAAGAACCTCTTTGTGTCCTAAATAATCCTAAATAATGTGCAGCCTTTTTACCCACGGACTGGGTTAGTATTTAGTTCCAGTGTATTATAGCATGATTACATTGTGATGCATGTCTTTCCAACACATAAAAAGAACAGAGAATAATTCACTTATTGTGCTTGTTTATTTCACCCCTACCCTCTTATTTTTGGAGCTCTGAAAACCATCTCACCCACATCGTATCTCAAAGAACAGATTTCCCCTGAGTCGCCTGATTACGTGTATAAGTTGGAAGTTGGAGCCAAATATGCAGCCAACAAATTAAAGTTGTATAAAAGTGTATAAGTTTTCAAAGCAGTAAATTTGTCTCGTACTCAAACTTAGCTCAAAATTTCTAAAGGATCTTTGTGTAACCTTGAAGAACAATTATATGAATTTAGAGTTTTTATTTTTACATATAAAGGAAAGATAAGTAAGCCTTTGGGACTTGAAAATGGCACTTTCATTTTGCTGTGAAGTGTTTCGTATTTACCAAAAAGTAGGTTATCAATATCGGATTGAAAAAGAACAGATATTCACAAGAGAAGAAATGCCGCCGAAGAAGATTGGGAGATTTTCTCAAATTGTGGAGTGATTTTTCTGAGTCAGGCAGACAATCATCGATTTAGACTCCTCGATATTTATACGTCATGTAACCATAGTCACATAAAGTCCTAGTTTCTGCAGGATGAAGAGAGTAGTCCCAAAGCTTCCAAGCGTCTCAGAGCTCTACACCTTCATAAAGTGAGCTTTATTTAGCTGTGGGTGTGACTTCAAACACAGTTTGATCTGTGGTGAAGAGGAAGTTTGGAGGGACCTGTCTGAAGAAGGCCCGCTGAGTAACAGGACGGCTCGATGCCAAAAGCTAATTTCTCTGTGTTATTATGAAAGTGACCATTTTCCATCACTCTCTTTTTCCGTTTGTGCAGGTAAGTAGCTTTGATGCATCACCTGAGCTCTTGACCCCGACTTTTTCAGCGACCAAACGAAGATGAAGTCATCAGAGTCGCCTGTGCTTCCTCTGCTTTAAACATGAATTACATGGAGTCAGTTTCAGAGCACTTTTAATCAGGCCGGCTCCTTCTGGGAGAGGGAAAATTCTGCCAACTTTGTTTTCGTCTATAATGTTTGAGACCAGTGAACATCTGATGCCAGTTCTTGATTGATCACTCTCCATAAAACAGGGATGGTTTCTGGTTTGTTGAGGCTGCTCGTTGATCATTCTGCTGTTTTGTGACTTGCTGTCCAGATGCTCTATGCTGAGAGTGGGCACAGTCCATTGACACTGCTGATGCTGCAGTGAGGAGCTCTGAGGATACTGCCAGTGCTGCTTTCTGGCCCTCTAGCCATAGCAGATGATTGTGCTCGCTCTGTAATTTCCTCAATTTAGAGACTGTCAGAGGGTCCTCCACTCACCATTTGCTCTTCTAGGACTTTTAGAGACCCATTGTTGCAAGATAAATGTTGTTACAAACAGCCAGCTTCAGCCTGGAAAAGTTTGCAGGACACAGACTTTACATTTTATTGGCCTTATGGTTGTAAAGCCTCTGGGACTGTGACTCACGGAGTCAAAATATCAGAATTGTGGATCTTATTGAGAGTCTGTTTGGTGTTTAGACTGCTTTTCTAGACCAAATCATGAATGAGTCAGCCCCAGACACTCCACTCTCTGCATTCCTATGTGAGTGTGTGGCTGTGTGTGTGGTTGTGTGTGTGTGTCCTTGCCTTGATTGGTCTCACCTGTGCCTGATTAGTCTCCCCTCTCCAGTGTATTAGGTCTATGTGTTTCTCTTTCCCACTGTCAGTTCACATTAGTACCATGAGCATAGCTACTCCGAGTTTTGTCCCGGAGTTTTTAGACCTCTCCTTTTCCCTCTGGACCTCTCCTGTTTTAGTTATTCTGGTTTTGGATTGGTTTGCTTTGTTGGGCTGTGCTCCTGGGGCCTATACTATGGTACAGGATTTGTGCTTATTAAGGTAACTTCAGGATTAAATCTGGGTTTTTCGTACTATGAAGGTGCTTTATTTCTTACCAGGAAGGATCGCTTATGGTGGACACCTGAAGGTTATGGTCAGGGTATTAAACTCTGCCCAGTGGTTGATCAAATTGTTGGATTATGGAGCTTATCAAGGGTGGAGAGGGAAGAGACCGGTAATACAGATCTACAATATGTCTTTCAATTTTAATAGAAATTACTGTTTGTGTTTTATTGACATGATTCTCCATCAGTAAACACAGGTGTACAAAAGTGCACATTTATATCCTGAATTTTAATTTCTTATCTATTTGTAACCTCTCCTTATTGATTTCTCTAACACAGTCAGGGCTGCAGCTGAAGTATAAAGTGTAAAACTGTCATATACACCCAAAGAATAAATCTGAGCAACAAATCAGTTTGAGAGGATGAAGCAAAAATATTATTGTCAGATCACTTGTACGATCGGTCCATAGTAAGTCTTAACAATTCTTCTTTTATTCAACAAAAGCAACAGTGAATTAAGTCTGGATTATATATTCAACATTGCCATATTTCATTAACATCAAATTTTGCCCTGTTCGAAAAATATGATGATCCACAGATCTCACATTAATGAACTTATAGTAACTCTGGGTTAACTTATCAAGACGATAACCTGCTTTGTGAAACTGTTTAGTTTAAGGTTGTCAGAGCCAACTAGGATAGAATAAGACAGAATAGAATAGAATGAGATGGGACAGAATAGAATAAGACAAAATAGAATAGAATAGAAAGTATTTGTATAGAATAGAATAGAATAGAATAGAATAGAATAGAATAGAATAGAAATATTTGTATAGAAGAGAATGTAATAGAATAGAATAGGATAAGACAGAAAAGAATAAGATAGAATAGAATGAGATAGGATAGAATAGAATAAGACAGAATAGAATAGATAGATAGATAGATAGATAGAATAGAATAAATTGGAATAGGATAGGACAGAATAGAATAGAATGGAATAAGACAGAATATAATAGGATAAGACAGAAAAGAATAAGATAGAATAGAATGAGATAGGACAGAATAGAATAGAATGGAATAAGACAGAATATAATAGAACAGAATATATGTTTGTTGATCATTGTGCAGGATGTATACAGCTACAGTCTTTTTCTGTTAGTTAGCAGGGCTCAAAAAATAGTCAAAACACATTAAATGTAAATATAAAAAGTCACACTTGCATACGCGAGTTCAAAGCATGCATACACAGTACTTCCGCATAGTCAGACATGGATTCAGGAGATAATATCAAGGGGGATTCTGCACTGGTATGATAGAGAGTCATTATATCCAATAGGTTAATTGCACTTTGTAGTAAAAATATATAAATGTGTAAACATGAGATATTGCTACAGGTAAAATTTAAATTTTCCCGGTTGGAGTTGTTGCATTTGTAAAATAAGAGAATAGTTAAGGATACCTGAGGTATGTGGACCTGTTTTCATAGTTCAGGTCTGAGCTCTCTAAACCCTTACATTAGAGTGGGCGTCAACTGCACTAGCTCTACAAACTCAGCCCCCCCACGTTCCTGCATACACTACATGAAACTGAGGCATATGTAGAATAATTCACTGCTACATGCAGTTTATTACAGCTAATATTAAATTAGCATTTAATGATAGAGCTAGTGTTACAAAGTAAATGCTGCCTGTCAGTGGGGTACAAATCACTCATGTACATAAACTGTGTGTGTAAATGAACAATAATTAGCCTGTGTGTGTATGGAATAATTACATGAAGGAATGGTGGAAATGGCATCGGTTAACACAAACCATGCCAGTTTTATTTGGCGCTGATTCTTGCAAACACACGCTGTGAAACACGGCAGTGAGCAGGTTTTAGAAAGGAGCCAACATGATCTGTACATTCACTTTGATCTCACTGAATCTGTGAGCTGAATACAGACTCATCCTGCTGCAGGCGCCATTACTCATTTGATAAAACAGCTTTTAGGCAATTTAAATACTAACTCCTATTGTTTGCAGTTATGGAAATAGCTCTTTTGTGTTTAAAGCTTGTGATTTATTGAAGATCAAACATAGGACCTCCTCCTCCTCCTGCTGTAGGTGCTTATAGCTGCTAATGTGTGCTCCCCATTTACACAGAGGAGCCTTTGAGTTTCTCAGGATGGACCGACAGTCTTATTTCCTAAATAGCTGCTGTGCCGAGTTCAGTCGAGTTGAAAGTCTATCAGATTTAATTGATGGAGACCCTCCGGAATCAATGAGGCTAGAAAAGCAGGGCAGCCCCTCTCTTTGGCGAGCCAGGAGGCCATCAGTGGGGGAGGCAGGATGAGGGCGGTGTGTGATGTTCATGCGTGAACCTGGGGCTTCAGAGTAATGGTGTGTGTCTACCCCGGTGCCACGCCACATAAACTTAGGACCTCCTTGTCAGATCGAGACACAGAGCCTGCGGCAACACACAGGAGGAGCCTGAGAAGAATAGACTCGACTTCCCAAACGCTTATTTGTTATCACATGGGTGTCGCAATTAGGACACATTAGGTCAAGAACACAGTTTTACTTCACTCATTGTGAGCGTACAGCTACTTGTGCATGCATGCAGGAAGCTAAATGACTTTTATTTAACGGAAAGCAAACAGGAATACTGATTATGCACAACAAAAATACCTTTAAAGCCACGAATGGCTCTAAATATACAAGAGCTTTGTCTGTACTGTTAAAGGTGTTAAAGCAAGGCAAGTGTATTTAGCACATGCAGTGAGACGAAAGTCAGAGAAACACAAAAATAGACTTTTATTTAAATTCAAAATATTGCCAGGTAGGTTTCAAAATAAAAGCATAAAGTTAGTATGAATTAAAGCTCCGATGGGGAGTTTTTTTATGTGTATGAAATAGACTACAACTCATAGTTATGATTTCTCATGATATCCAAAAGCAAACAAGATCATAAATAACAAGACAGATGTTTTTTTTATCACATTCTTAACACCTGAAACTGGCGTGAGGGGGCGGTGTCGGCTTTGCAATTGAACATCTGTTTTTTTTTTTTTTTACAATTTTCACCTTAAATTTTCACAATGAATGAATTAAAATTGTTTGCTGCTGAGTTAGTGTGAATGTGAACACCTGAATACGTTGCGTATATATGTTTAATTAGTGGGACAAATTTGCTTCATTTGGATGTTACATGATTTCTGAGTTTAAGATGCAAGAGATGAGGGGTTTGCTTCGTGCGTTTTAGACAGTTTTTATCAAACATGGTTTAGGTTGACTACAATGCAAGGATTTGTTGTGTTTTCGCAATTCAACAGATAATCTGACTCCTGCGATTTCCTTTATATTCCTGTCTTGATAGAAAAAAAAGATGTATAGTATGGCTAAGAGTAGCTGTTTACCACCTTAAACAGTTTGTCCTTAATACTGTTGACAAATGAACCTCAAACAGTCTGTTCATGACATAAGTCTAGATACAGTACAATACAATACATATGATTGTCCCATTGAGGAAATTTGTCTTGGACTCAAGTGCTGCACATGCTCCACTGTGTCCTCAATTTGTCCTACTAAATACTAACTAATACTAAATGATTAAAACTGTGTTCAAAAGAAGCTGTAACCTACAAACAATGAACACAAACCAAGGACACCACAACAAACAAGCAACTCATACATATTATATTGGAGGGGGTGAGCAGCTTGTGGAGTAGTAATCATCCATTTATCATTATCGAGGTTTATTGATTTGAGGCCATATCGCCCAGCTTTAACCAGAGGACAGCATTGTTAGCAAAGGAGCTAGAAAAATAAGTGCATTATGACATTTTTGGCCGGAGCTCAGACTTTTCAACTCTTGCTGATGTGCAAACACAGCCAAGAGCGCACATCACTAATCTGCATCGTTTGCACATCTTATTCATCAGTTTACAAATCCAGCCATGCATCACCATTTGCACTTCTAAACTGATGCCTATTATGTCTTTACACTGCTGCACATGTGCCAATAATTATTTCAGAAGACCTGACATTTCATAGGGGTTTAAAATTTGACTGCTGCTTAAAGATGTTGGTTTGAGTCATCTGGGTCAAAAAGTAGCTCAGTCCAGGACAGCCTGAGTGGCCTGGATGATTCAGACTTCTTTTGGCCCTAAACTAATCTGCTGTATACCTTCTAGCTCTTTTCTGCTTTTGCTGGTGTTGTATAAAGGCACAGACAAAGCTGACATGAGTAAGGTATTGGAAAACGGACTCACACATTTCTCTTGGTCTTTAAATCAGATTTATTAAAGTTCTGAAGATCTAAAATAACACCCGCCTTATTCCTCTCAGGGTGCATGAATGTATAACAAAGGACCTGTGAAAAAGAACTTATAAATATACACAAGTAGGCATTGTGAGAAAGTGAATTATAATAACAGTAAACAAATGAGATTACCGTTGAGCAGAATGATGGGCTCAGTCTCACACCATTGGTATTTATGATGCTCATGTTCCTCGAAAATGAAATAGCTTCACTCATCAAGTGAGGGAAAAACAGGCTGAAGTATCAAAGCAGGAGCAACACAATCAGACGGAGGTGAAAACAAAAACATCTCGGGAGTTTGCATATTAGGCAGCAGGTGATACATATTTCAAAATGATGAGGTAAACACCAAAGAACCAAAACAAGAGGGAGTCCTGAACACTGTCCTGCTAAATACGAGGCATTTCTTTGTGAAAAAGAACATTTGCAATTCACCAAATGCAAAATCAAGTCAGATTAGACACCTGTTTTGGTATGATTTAAAAGTATAGATTGTTAGATTGCTATTTTGTAAGGGAATTAGTATTTTAGCAATGTTTTCTTCTATTTTGGTGCTGTTGAGTTGTTAGGAAGTTAAATGTTTCAAGACCTTTTGTGAAGAAATATCTGTAAATCATTAAACCATCCAATACACCATAGTCTCAGGCCAACACGTTTAACTCTCCTTCTTCTATGTTGCCTCTAAAGATGCAGAAAACACACACAGGTCTTTTGGGTTCATATAAAGTGTCACTAAGATCACTTTGTTTATTTAGTGAAGACTAATTAAAGGTTCTGTCAAGTCAAGATGAAAAGCTTTTGCCTTTTCTGCTTCTTTGCATAACGGCACCATCGTCTCTGTTCCTCTCTGTACACTGTATAACCAGTGTGTGGTTCAACAGTTGGGGCTGCCGTCACTGAACAGACATGAGGAGTGATGGGTTATTCATGTGTAACAAACATGGCATGTTAGCTCAGGGGCAATCTTTTGGAAGAAATGTCATCCTGCATCGCAGCGACTGTAGATGACACGTGCATTCCTCTGGCAGCGGCAGACCACAACTGCATTTTCCTGCGCATAGAGGGATCCCCGTCGTTCCGAGCTTCATGTTGGAGAACGCTCAGAGTGGTTACGAGCCAAAGACGAGTAAAGGCAGGGGGGCTTAACCAGCAGCTTACAAACACCGCTCCAAAGCCATTTCTGACGGCTATGATTCAGATGAAGAAGCCCAGTTACCCCCCGGTGGGCCGAGGCAGAAGAAAAGAGAGCTAGCACAGGCGATCAAAGATGCATCGATCAGGTCGACTACTCGTAGAGCTCAGTGGAACCTGCTTCTGCTCCAACAGCGCTAAAGTGGAGGCCAAGGCTCTCGAGAGAACAAAGGGATCTCAGTGGTATCCAAACGATTACACATGGAGTCATAAGCATTCTCAAAAGAGTCAATGGTTGTATTTCAAACTTCCCTTTTCTCAGACTGTCAATAAATCATTTGTCCACTTGATACTCATCAGCACATGCACAAGCATTTGGCATATCTGTCCCACGTGGTTATTTAGATTAGAAATAGAGGAACTTAATGTTACAATACAGTGTTGCTAGTGCACTGCATGCAAAGCTGCTATGACGGCGCAGTTTATGCATTTTATGTGACTCCAGAGATTTACAATCACTGTAAGATTTTGGGTCTTTGATCCCGGCAAGTTTCTCCCAAGCCGCGGCTTCTCAGCGAGTCTTTAACTTTGCATTTTTGGTTGAGAGCCTTCCCTGCTACTAACGCTGTCAAGTGTGTAAATTGTTGCACTACCTCCAGTCCCATTCCTGTACCTGCCTGAGCAGACTGAATGATGACGCCTGTCTCGGGTAACATAAATATGGGAATTGTCATTCAACATCTTTTGCACACAGGCAGCCCTGCAGCGAGAAAAAGTACAAACAGATTCACATCCTTCTCGGTGCCTGTTAAATATTAAGATTCCTGTATTAGCCAAAGGGAGACTGTAGGACAAGTTATTTACTATTGAATTCATATTGAAGACCAACTAAACCAATCCCTGTCCGAAGAATTAACTATACTTTCTTGCACCAATTAAAATAGTTCCTGATTAAACCCATACTGTAAAACCAGAACTTTTTGATTAAAAAACTGAGAGTAGTATTTTTCTTTGCTTTCTTTAATGTTTAAGTGAGATAACAGCAAACATTTAGGGGATACAGCAGGACACCTGTGCTTAACAATTTAATTCGAATCAATGAAAAACTGTTCTGCTTTTACAGAGGAAAACCAGTTTTATGTAAATGAATGAATGAATTCATGAAATTTATTTTGGTTATACATTACATTATGATGAACAAACATTACAATTTGTGTGAATCTAAAACTACCAAAAACAAAATACAAAATAAAATATTATATATGTTCTCTTTGATTTCACACAATATCATCAACACATTAATTTAACCAAAAAAATAGCAGGCTGACGACCAAACCTCTCCTAAATTGATGAGCCCAAAAGGCGATAGCAGGTAGACTTCAATGTATAATCTATCATTGTATACTTAAAACACATGATGGTGTCCCACAAGGGTCCATATTGGGTCCTATTTTTTTTACAATTGACATTTTTTCATTTATATGCTGATGATATGATCATGTATACTTCTAATTATGACCAATAAGCTTCTTTTAATATTGTCTGGATGAATCTAATCCTGGCTTTAATATCCATCAAGACCAAAATGGTGTTCTTCTCAAGGTCTAAGATAATTTATTAATGAGAAATTCATAATGAGCGTGTTACTTAGAGAGCTGAAGGTGAAACTGGGTTGAATCAAAACCTATGTACTTCCAGTACTCTCTGAATGACTGCATTCTTTATATGCATACTATCTCCTTTGCAATGTTGGACCAAACTGCATTGTGATTGCCTCTCATCGAGGTTTTCTGCACAAATCCGTCTTGTACAAGAAAGTAGAGCTGTCTCCCTTACATAAGAGAAGAAAAGCTGTCAGTGGCTGTAGCCTTCAGTCTCATGGACGCATCGTGGATGTCAGCTCTTCAACTTCTATCTTTGGAAAAAGGACTTAAAAGTTTCTACTCCATCATCCGGGTCTGGGTTACACTGTTATCTAAAACTGGATTGTGTATGTCTGTATGTGTAAATTTGCAGGGTTCTGTTTGACCAGTTTGTTTAATCTAGCTGCCTTCTTTTTTGTGCCAAACCTTGGTAACATTAGCTATTTATAGTGACTCAAAACCAGCTGTATTGGCTTACATCTACTCATAACACAGGGATTACATTACTGTACTACTAGGACCAATTTATGACCACTTACAGTGACTGTAATAGTGTTTGTAGAATGGCAATATATCACAAGTATGAAAGTTTCATTACACTTTAAATAGTGACTGGTCAGCAAACATATTGTATTGACACCCAATCTTTAAAATACGTGATTATTTACTTTCATAGTCATTTACTAATAATTATAGCTATATGCTCATACGAACACATAAATATGGTTATGATTCATAATAAACAAACATCACAACAAGGTATGACAGCTGTATGAAGCATTATTATGATCCTAAGGGTTTATAACTATGATTGTGCAGCGTTATAAGTATGTTATAATGCATTATGAGTGTGTTTGTAATGTGCTATGATGCATTACTGTCCCCTGGCCAAGGCAACACCACAAAAAACAAAACTTTTAATAATCCCTTGAAAAAGAGGTTTTATATCAACGTGTGACTGTCTTGGTGAATTATTGATAAAATTGAGATTATATTCAAAAACATTTGGATAGCACCAAGCCATTTGTTATATATTAGGAGTAGTACATTGTTTTTGGCATGTTTATTGTTTGTTTGGTGTTTCATCCAGCTGAAAGTGTGGCGTCAGGTTTCTGTTTTTGGTTGATTTAGCACAAAACCACCAGTTGAGTTGGTATTTGTCATCTTTGATGTATTCACCTGTCACATCGTAAAGTAACTGATATGTCCTTCAGGGAAAAGCCCATAAAAACTGCATCTTAACTTAATAGAAATAAGTACATTTCTGTCCGTCTGTTGTGCATCAAACTTGATTTAACTTCCTGTTTACAACATATTGATGTATTTAGGTCTGCAAAAAGACACTTCCTGTAGTCGTCAGCATAGTGTATTTTGGTATACAGCATCTTTAAAAAAAATAAATAAATGCAAGTTTGAGTGGGAAAGTTTTGCAGAAGGGAGTACAATGTTCAGTGAATCATTAGATTAGAGGAGATAACTAATAAAGAACAGACCCTTTGTAAGGATTTTTCCTGCATTCTGTCGACTGTAATGTTTATCATACAATCTGAGTTATCTCTCCCTCATTCAATATGACTCCCTAATAGCATAGAGAACCTCATCCTGTATCCACTGATAAGACTGCTCTATACTCCGCAGATCCTCATGATGCTCCCTCTGATTTTGGTCAGCGATCTGGTTTTTTTTGTTGTTGTTGATTTTTTTTTGCATTCTTTGATAGAGATTTAACAGGAGACTGATGCAATGTGACACGAACAGACAGTCTGATAAAATAGAAAGATACGGAGTCAAAGACAGAAGCAAAGTTCATGAAAAAATGACTCAGATTTATATTCCTAGTCTTGAGGACAGTCAGAGCACGTTGTCTGAATAAAAACATTGATAGTTTCTGCCTTTCAGACCAACTCCACACAGATGGAGTTTACAGTCACTGGATATCCATGTCACCAAAAGTTGATCTGAAGTTTTAAAGGTGCAGTGTGTAGTTTTCAGCAGCATTTAACTGATAGAAATAGTGAATGTGTTCAAATCAGTGTATATCAGAATAGTTTTCTTTCAATGAGCATTTTGTTTCTACGTATGAATGGGTCTCTTTCTACAGTAGCACTGCAAGGACAAACTAGTAACATGTGCCTTTTTGTCAGTAATTAGCTGTTACAAGAAACAGAAGACAAATCATAAGAGCCGTTGTTGTTAGATGTAAATAAATCATATTAATAAACATCTTTAGTGTCAAAAACTGATTAAAAAGAGGATCATTCTTACCATATGTCACAGCAGTTTTTTGTCCTTTAAGGCCACCATTGCTTTATTGTCTGGAGGGGTGAGCAAGGGAGCACTTCATTCTAAAATTTGGCAGCCAATAGTCCAATTTCTACACACTATTTTGAAATTAAGAAAGCAATAAACCGGTCAGGAATAACCTAACTTTGATGACTCTTACAGTGATCTGTGTTTTTGCCCCCTCTAGTGGTGATTTTGTCAGTCATTACCTTGTCACACAGGCAGTATTTAGCATGTTTCTCCTTATTTAGATTTTTGGGCAAAGACGTGTTTCATTTTCTGCCTTTCATCTGCTTTCATCATCCTGTTAGTTTTCTCTTATTTTATCTCTATTATCTAGTTATATTTGTTGATATCTATGAGGAGTATAGTTTGTGAATTTTATTGCAAATATCCTATTAATATGTAACCTGTGATATTAGTATTGGCTAAAACAGAATAATACAGAATACAGCAAAATCCAAAAATTATGTGAATATTACTATTTCAAGGCATTTTAAGAGCAATTTCAACATTTTTGTTTGTTCATATTCATCTAGTGTGACTCATTGACAGATTATCCAAAAACTTGCTTGTGTGTAACTCCTAGCATTTATAAAATCAAAACAAGTGAATTATAATTATTTACAACTGTCACAGATAAAGAAATAAGAACCTTTCTTTGCTTTTGGAGTGAGCCCCGAATGGGCACTTGAGAAACTGCTGTTATATTACGCTTCATTTCCAACACTGCAGCTTGTTCTTGACATATCCTCACTTTTAAGTCCTCAGTTTAATGAGATGTTTCAGTGCATAAAAGATGAAGAATCTTGCATATTTATTCCTCACAACAAATAAGAAAGCAATCGAGTTTGATATTTTGATTTTGTATAAATATTTAATGATTATGAATCAAGGCTTTGTATGATTAGACATTTAATAATTAATGTGATAAATGTATGATCTATGCATGTTCAAGCCATAGGCCAAATGTTCTAAATCTGACTGAACAGTATGATCTGATGATTTTGCCCCCTGAAAAAACAGAGTTGAAATCTTTTCAAATAAACAGAGACATATTAAAGGGTCCTTGACAGGAATAAACAGGGATGAATTATTCATGTCTCTTTACTTGCCTAACATGTCATGGAAACACTGTTTGTTCTACGAGGCCAATCACAGCAGGCGGCTCTGTGGACGCCATGGGGCTCTGGTGGTTCTTACGCCCCCTCTCCCCCAATCCTGCTCGGTGTTTCTGTAGGCGAGTCGTACCTCTGAGGGTATGAAAACTAGCTACATGTGAAAATTGCTTTTTTAACAGAGGGAAAACTTTTTTAAAGTGAGGTTTAGTCCTCAAATGAACTTGTTCAGAAAGTCAGCTTCATCATGTATTCTTTGTGTAAAGTGAGCAGGCTGACCAAACTCTTAACAGCCAATGAAACGGTCGGCTCCGCTGAAGGAAATTACCGACTGTTTTCAAGGCAGATGAGATGGAAATAAAAAAGCTTTTAGGAGACTTTTTACAATCTTTCCTTTTGTTGCACCTTTACATTTATGTATACTTTATAACTTTAATGAAAGTCCATATGCACATGGGGCTTTCAGATAGAGAGACAGATAAGAAGACTGTGGCTCTGTGCTCAGTGTCCTTTAGCAAAACACTTCTGGTGGCAAAGTCAGGAGTGTGTGAACTGCATGAACTGGAATTAGTTAATACTGATTGTGAACGGATGAATGTGACAGGCAGTGTAAGGGTCTATGTCCACGAAGGGGTGTCTTTGGATCTGGCAGTGCCCACAAAATCAATTTAGGGGTGCTTCTAACAGGAATTTACTGTTGCCAAGTGACTGAAGTTGTCTTTCAGCACTTCTACTTTACATGGAACTGATGATCAGCTCAGGTCCATTTACCATCTACCATGTGGACAGAGATGCTTAAATGGATTGATTTGATTAGTTTATTTGCAACATGTGTAGGTCTTTCAGAAATTTAACAAACATGATAACTGCAGTATAATAAAAGATAATACAAAGTGAGCTGGCAGTAATAACGAACAAAACCCTCTCAGAGTTATTGACAGCTAATAATACAAATGAGCTGAAAATAAATTTTGTTCTTAAGACAGTTTTATTGATCTAAAAATATTGCATTAAAGTACCTCAATCTTGAAGATTGGTATCCCTATTATTAGTCGAATTAACACTAAACTTTTTATTCAGGGTAAATAGATCTTTTTTTACACATAAAAATCACATAAATTTAACAATTTAAAGTCTGAACATGAGCGTTTTCTTTAGCGTCTATAGCAGATGCAGAAAATTACAGTCTATACATGATTGTGTGATACCTTTTGGCATTTTCTTTCACTTAAAGCTTCTATAAGGAGTTTTTTAATGTGTATAAAATAGACTTAAAAATTCACATTATGATATCCTGAAGCAAACAAGACCATCAGGGACAAGATTTAAGATTTGTATACCCTTTTTTACAGGGTATAGGGTAAACTGGACTGCCAAAAGTCAGCAGAATGTCAAATATTACTGTGCATACATGTAGATGATGGAATAAACAAAGACTGCTTTGTCCACAGGGGGCGCCACATCTGAAACAAACTGAAAGTTCCTTAAAGAAGCTTTAACCTGTCCTATCACATGCATGTTTGTTTACAAGTTTAGCAGTATCCAGGAGTTCTTCAATCTGAGTCTTAAACTATTAAGTTGCCTGAGAATCCTCCCCGCTGCAGTCTGTCTGAGTGGTTTTTTCTGGTTAAAGTGATTCAGAGATGCATCTGCACCTCATCATTATCTGTCCCGGACTCCGCCACAGCTTTCAAACCGTCTCTATTTTTCTAACACGCTGAAACTGGGTGAGCTTGTGGTCAGGACACCTTGAAATGGAGTCTGAGCCAATAAAAGAAAAAAATATCCAATGAAAACACTCAGTGAGGAAGCAGACACACATATATACCCACAGAGCTGTATTATTAATGACACAGAATGAAGCTTTGTTGGAAATGGAAATGAAAAGGAGATGGAGTGATAGCATCAAGGACAAGCTTAATACATGCAAATCATCTCTGCTTGTGGTGAGAGAGAGGATGTGAATGGAAAGAGGATGGTCCTGTGGTTCTGGCTTCACCGGTGGAAGGTTAGGTGATTATGACGACTCTGATACCATGAAGCAATACTGTATCAAAAAGGCAGAATCTACTGCTGGCAACTACGAATCAACTAATATTCAGCATTTTACTTATAAGGAAATATCTGCATATAATTGTAGACAAAAAACCTGAAAGTGGAGATTGTCAGTCATGGCCCACAACTCCCAGTTAATGTCTGACTGTGTTAAAGCTCCTTTAAAGTGACTTTTCGACATCAAAGAAATCAACTGAAATGCATAATGATGACTTTTCATGATACCCAAAAGCAAACAAGACCATCAGTGCCAAAATTAAAGGCTTTTATTTTTTTATTTTTTGCCTGAAACTCGTGTGAAGGGGAGTAGGTGTCATAACAGACTTATATTTACATTAAAAACATTAAATATTCACAATAAATGACACATATGACCGCCAAAAGTCTGATTTTTCGTCAGAATCAAACACCTAACCATTTAGACTATG